GGGGTACCTTGGTGGTGCTATGGCTTTGGATGGGGGTGCATGGAGGAGGAGGAAGCAACGGCAGTGACCGACACTCGCGACATTAGAATTCAGCACCCACATGACATGTCCTTTTCACCAAATTTCACACGCGCCGCGCAGCTACCAATCGTCAGTTCTCTCTCCGCCGTCGTTTCGCGCCACACTGTTTTCCCCGTCGTCCGCCGGAACAGTAAAAAAAATTAGCAAAAGTTTCTTCGAGGATTCATGGGAGAACTGAAAACGAAAAAAATGTGAAGATGAGAGAGAGAGAGAGTAGGGGGAGAGAGAGAGAGAGAGAGTAGAGAGAGAGAATGGTTAAATTAGGTGGTGGCGTAGTGGCGTTGTGTCTCCTCCACAGAAAGAGAAAATAAGAGTGGTGGAAAAAGGAAAAGCAGAGAAAATGAAATTTAGTGTTAGAGAGAGAAACAAGAGAGAGAGAGAGAGAGAGAGAGAGAGAGAGAATAAAAATCAACCAACCAAAAGTACCAAACCACCCCACCCCACCCAACACTCTCACTGTGTGTACTTTTAAAGTGTGTTGTTAATTATTCCCGGGTCGGGTTTCTTCGACCCGTTTCCAATGCACACAAATTAAGAATTAGGAAATACTACTAATAATAGCCTATTCTAAAATTACATGTTATGTTAGTTACACACATTATGAAAGTTATTACATGATATTTTTTTTCTCCACGTAAATATTTCATATGTTTCAAAATAAGTGACATTGAATAAGATTATTGTACGCTAACTAGAAAAAATATTGAATAGTTTTGACTTAAGAGCTATGTAGCACGGGCACAGAAACGGCGATACAGGAAAACGGTATTTTCTGAAAATGGGGATACGAGAACTTACGGGAAATATGTAAATATTAAAATTATAGGGGTGTATTTATAAATATTCTATACAAACATATATACTCCCTCAGTTCCTAAATAATTGTCATTTTTCACTTTTCACAAAGATTAAAAAACTCAATAAATATATCTTGATTTTAGAAAAATCATATAAAAATGACTAAAACAACCTTTAATATTTAATGATTTATAAGAGAAATTTAATGAATAGAGTTTCATTAATAAGGTTAAAACAGGAAGAATGCATTTAATGCAGTATTGGAAATCTAAAGTTACAGATAATATGGAACACAAATATTCTTAAAAAGAGACAGTTATTGTGGAACAGAGGAAGTAAGTTTTTATTTATATATGAATTCGTTTTATTTATTTTTATACAAATATATTGAAAATAAACTTACTATCAGCTATTAATTTGCAACTGATCATTAAATCGTGTAAATAATTTGAGATACAACAAAAATATTTGAAAATTTGCGAAACGCGGAAACGTTGAGAAGTTGAAGTTTCCGTGCTACGTTAAGTGAAAATTAGTTTCTTCCTTGTAAATATTTTTTTTTGATCTAAAAAGCTTTAGCAAGACGATACGGATTCGGGTCATTTGAACTTCTGAATGCATGATGCTCTTTGCAATCAGCAAAGTCCAATATTTTCCTTGCCAGCATATTTCGCTAAATTAATAGAATTTTACTAGTCCCGATTCTCGACTGTATTAATTTATCGAGTTTTAATTGTACTTATGTTCGGGTCCACATATACCCAAATTCAAATGGGGTTAATTTTTATTTGGTTACCCTGAAATAAAAATGGAGTGTGGACAAATTATGACCATAGAAAATGAGTGTAGAACTGAACTTGAAGGAAGATACCTCTCCCAACTTTTATGAAATGGAGATCTCTTTCAATAATCCAGAAACCCTTTTATTATTATCCTGGAACAAATTCTTACTTATCCCTTTTTTCCCTTTCTCACATAGCAAAATTCTGCTAAATTCCACCCACGAAAAAAGTGAACGTTTCATTTTTCGTGTTCGCTTTTATCGAGGGGTATAAATCAGTTGGAGTGTCGAACGATCTCACGAGCTCGTGAACCTGCTCAATAAAAACTCGAATTTTCTGAAAATTCAAGCATCAAATTACGTAATAATACTTCAAATTCCTAAAACAAAATCAATTTTGCTCGAGCTCGAGCTCCAAAGCTAAGTAGTTCATCGAGCCTCTGCTCGTAGATATTTACTAGAGGTAGAATTCATAGAGGCCCTCTAAATGAATCGAACTCTATCGTAAAAATCAACTTATTTATATCACCTAAGCTCGAATATTATCATCGAATTAACATGCAAACAAAACGAGAAATATACCAAGAATGACGAGATGATCAAGTGAAACGAAATTATTCAGCATAAACACATTGTCCAATTATCTAAAAGCTTCACTGACTACCACAGATAAATACATGAGATTATTATCCTTACAAAAAAATCACAAAGATAAATTGAGAAAGAGAAACTCACGCTATTATAAGAAGCATTGACTTGGTTCACTGGAGTCGCACTAAAGTAAATCTAGATAAGTACACTCTCGTAGAGAGAGGGTTGTAAGTTCACTCCACTTAAAAATATAACTACGCCCAACTTAAAACTAAAGATACAGAAACGTACACGGCGACTTCTCTGTAAATTGTACACAACTTTAAAGAATAGTTACAGTCATCTTCAAGCGCACTACACATAAGTTAATCACTCTCTTCATCGTCGTCTGCAAGGAAAAAAAAGAAGAATATCACATTAAATAAAATAAACAAATAAAAAAATGAGTCATGTTTGATATCTATCTTTATCGAGAAGGAAACAAAATATTCAATTTTATAACTCCAAATTTATGCTGTTAATTTACTGTAACTTTATGAATGGTATGCTAGTCTCAGGGAGCAACACATATATTAGATGTTGAAAAAGGAATTCAGAAGAAAAAACGGCGGCAATTAGGCATTGCAAAGTGTCAATAGTAGAATTAGCATTAAGGCTTTAGCCTAGTGGTATCAGCTTCCTCAATGTGGGGAAACGTCGGGGGTTCAAATCCTATGAGTGTGTGATAGACCATTTTATAAGGACTTTTTTTTAAGTCAAGAGTGAAATTAGTTTATATACATATTTTTTCTTAAGGTCAGCTATTATGTGGGAAAATGAGAAAATAGTTTACCTGCGTTGAATTCATCACTATCATCGTCGTCTTCATCCTCTTCCTCTTCCTCTTCCTCTTCTTCCTCCTCCTCTTCTTCTTGTACTTCTTCCACCTCCCCTTCGCTCTCCTTCTCCGCCTTCTTCTCCTCTTCCTCTGCCTTGTCAGCATTCTCCTCCTCTGCATTCTTTTTCGCCTCTTCGTTGTCACTATCTTTGTCCTTTTCCTTTTTTACTTTTTTTTTACTCTCTTTTGAATCAACAGTGTCTTTTTTAGCACGAGCTTCAGGTTTTGCAGGAGCCCCAAAACTAAAAGTTGATCTTCTTCGTGAACTGGATATTATGTTGCTCATGTCAATGCCTTCGAGTTCTCTAGCTGTTTCCTTTCTCTTTTTACAATCTTTGATTTCTGAAAGAAATAGCTCAAACATTCATTTTCATATTCACACATTCGACAGGGAGGAAACTAAGCCAGAAACTGAGCCGCTAGACCATCTTTGCAATACCAGTAATATCCATTTTAATATTATAGAACTAATAGAGAGGAGGGAAATTTCGTTTAGACATGAATTTGCTAGCAGAGTACCAAATATAAGAAAATTTTCTGAAAATCAATTAACAGAGTGCTTACAGTGAGGCAGAAAAAAAGGATGTTCTTTATACAGTCATTTGAATATAAATGGTTGTCATGCACAAACCAATTATTACCTTTCTCACTAGGATTTTTGGATAGCCCTTCTCTTAAGAGAATCCCTTCTAGCTCCTGAATTATAACAGCTTCTCGTTTGTTGTCTGGTACTTGCTTAGCTTTCTTGTAAATTACAGGAGGAATACTGCCCATTAAGACCAGATAACTTGACATCATTAACATGTTGGTAGCACTCGACAAAGGATAAATACCAAGTTAGAAAGGAAAAAAAATAAAAAGCCAAACAGGTGTATATACCTCATTCCACAAGCTTTGATTATTGATTTCAGGTTCTCCACCTTTTTCCCATATGCAGGAACTGGTTTTTCTTTTCTCTGTCAGTCAAAATGCTATTGTTAAGAGATATATACATAGCATACATTTATAGGCATGCGTTGCTTAATGAAATAGGAGTAATGAACTGTAAATCACCGACCTGTGCTGGTTTTTCAAGTTTTTCGACGGATGATTGAGATTGACCATCTTCAGATAGACTACCATCCTCACCAGAATTATTATCTTCCTCTTTAGAATCGTTATCTTCCTCTTTCTGCCTCTTTTGAAGCTTACTAGGTTTCTTGGCAGACACATCAAGATCACTCTTCCGTTTCTTAGGCTGTTCCAACTTCTTACTGTTTTTTCTAGAAGCAGATTCTTTTTTCGATTTCACTTTATCTTCCATCTCATCACTTTCACTAGGTAAAGATTCAGATCCTTCTTCACTGCTGACGGTTTTCACTTTTTTACTTTTTAAGCTCTCAGAAGTTTTCTTCTTAACATTTTTCACAGATTTTGTTGCTTTTGGTGGATTTAATACCTATATAGCAATAAAGTGATAAAGTCAGCAAGTTGTCAATTTGAGAACTCAGATTGTACATAATATAGTTCTTACCTGATCTATTTGTTGACTTATGAATTTCTTAAAAGGGTCGAGGTCATTTTTGTCAAGTCCAAGATCCTCTTCTAGAAGTCGGCGAACTCCAGCCAGAGTTAGGTTCCTGGAAAGTAAAGCAATAAACATGTTTTGCTTTGTTATGATCTTCCTTTCAGTGAAGGAAAAACTTCAAGAAATGACAATTGATGAAAATCAGTACAGAAAATTGAAATACATACTCAGAATTAGCTAGAAAATGATCAGCTCTTTCCAAGATGGCCTTCTCAATTCTGCTCTCGCTCAAAGGACCTTGAGCGCCAATTTCAGATTTGGGGGTTAACACACCCATTATAGGGGAGTCTTCCATCATTTCCTCATCTCCGGTGCTAGATTTTTTCAAATCATTGTTTGACTCATTCTGTTTAGGCAATATTGTTGCATCTTCTTTACTTAAATGCACATCTTTTTCATTTTCGTTTTCTTTCTCGGTTTCAGGTTTGCAATCATCAGCATCCTCCATTTTCTGGAATTTGGAACAGAACATTTATAGTGGTCAATATAGTTGTTGGATTTAACAAATTAAAACAATTAACAGTTACGACTACTATAAAGCAGACAACTACTCATCCCCAACTTTGACTGTTACAAGCTAATGATCTTCATTTGTTGGCCTGAAACCAGTCATTATAGAGATTGCTACCCACAAAAATTTCAACAACTTCCTCTGGTTTAGGATTCAAAATTACAACCTTTCACAAAATAATCCAGAAATTATTATACTGGACACTAACCTGCACCATCCGGTAAAATGAGATAAAAGTTTCCATGTGTAATGGTACATAAATACTATCACGTCTTTACAATGAAAGGATTGTCGAGTTAAGTTTGATGGATTAGTGGCCTTTTTGCCCCTGTATCCTATCCCATATATCACTTAAGATTATTCATCGCAGAGGTCAAGGTGTGACTGCTACATTAGAAGGACAGTTCATATGTAATTCCATCACTTGAAGCTTAACAGCTAACCGTGAAAATCTTACGTTAGCATAGAATGAGTCTTTTTTCTCTTTAAGATACAAAAGTTTAAGAAAGAATAAATAAGTAATAGTTTGGGAAATTTTTAAGACATTAGATTTGATCAAATGCTTTTATTCATGTAAGCATTTAATAAAGCATAAGCATACAATACACAGTGATATGATTTATGGCGTAACAAAGCAGATGCACACAACCCATATCGAAATGATTTTAGGACGCAACAATAGACGCGTGAAATAATTCATTTCCACAAATTAATTCTATCTAGCAAAAGAAACTCGGGATCCACTGAAAATTGTATTGATGCTGAAAGTTATGAAATCCTAACTATTAATGTTGAAAAGTATCAAATTCCTAAAACTGGAAAACCTAACGAAACTAGGAAAATACGAAAAATTACTAAATATGGAGAAAATAAAACGACTTAAAGTCCGACTCTAATAGAACTCGTGATTTTAGGAATATCCGTATATACAGAATCATAATCTGAATTTTCTATGAATTGATATTATGTTTTTTAAACTTCCCTAAACCGGCAAAAATGGAATTTTTAGGGCCGGAACGACGTTGGAGTGCCTAATTCTAATTTCATTCATGAAAAAATCTCATGATTGTTATTTCTTGGGCTGTTTTGCTTGAGATAAAAGTTGTCTCAGACTCAGATATACGAAAATCCGTTATTTTCCATATATTCTTTCTATATTTCCACCTAATTAACAATTAACGCCGCCAAAAAAAACATCTAGCAAGGTAATAAAATACGAGCGAGAGTAAAATGAAACAAATACTTACTCCTACAAAACCTGTGCGTTTTAATCAATTCATAGGCATTCCTTTAAGACTTAAACAGGATTTCTGCAATTTATTATCGATATCCGTTGATGGTATTCCTTCCGTTTCAAATTAATGGTCGTTTAAGGACACGTGTATTAAGAAACGTCACATGAATATTTTTCTTAAAAATTACAGGCACTCCTCTGAGCATATCAATTTCAGCAAGTACAGCAAAATATGGAGGAAGTAGTAATTAACCTTTTCCAAGTAATGCCGAATGAATCTCTTGTGTGCGTCCAGTGCAAATTTCTCGAGGCCTAAATCCTTCTCCAGCAGCCTCCTCACAGATTCCAACGTCAACGAACTGCCGTTTGAAACAAATCATCCACAAAAAAAATAAAAAAATTAAACAAATAATTGAAATGGCTGCATATATACATATACATATACATATACGTATCGCAACAAAATTAATGGCTAATTACTCGGCTTGGTCTTTGAAATGCTGAAGGCGGGAGCACACGGCGTGCTCTAGCTGCTGCTCAATCCCCTGCTTCTCTCCTTCTTCCGCCATTTATTTTTAGCCCCGATTGAAAAGAAAAAAAAAAACCTAATCTGCTTATCTGCACGCGAACATATATATGTATATAGTTGCCGGAAAAGGAAAAAAACGAAGGGCAAAAAACGTTTTCACGGCGGTGGTGGTGGTGGAGGAAACAGAAAGTGAAGCAACTTACCGATCGGAGTGAGGGTTTTAAGGTTTGGGAATTTTTTTATTTACTATATAATTCCTTTGATACGACGGCGTATCTATAGTCTATTTGGGAGAGAGAAACATTGTGTAGCCTTTAAGTAATTTTATTTAGGGTAAAACATGGAATTTATCAAATTTTAAACTCTAAAGAGTGAAATAATTGGGTGGAATATTATGTTAATTTAAATTTTAAATACAACTAGGATAATAGAAAATATAGTACATAGTAAAATTTAATAATGTAGCATTACTCATATTATATATAATAATAGTTTTTTTAAATATTGCATATTAAGATTTATAATCAAAATATATAGATTAATATTTAACAAATCGAATTTCTATCTTTATCTCTTAAGATTTGAGATATATTGATGAAAAATAGGAGATTGATAATTGTTGAAAATTATAGTAAAAAAATATATTAAAAATAAATCATTACAGAAACATCATTAGGATGTTTACGACTGCCGAGCGTTTCTTTCTTTTATAAATAAAATTAGCCACGTTTATACATATAAATGTTTGTAATATATATGAATATATATTTTCAATTATAATATCATATAAATATATATGATTGAACATACACAATAATAAAAGGGTAAATTACTGCCAAACCCCATGGGGTAATGTCAAATTATGAAAAAGTCCCATCGTCTCTGGGTAATTACAACCACACTCAATTATGAATCTTCTTATATGTCCACCATTGCGGTGTCAAATTTAGTGCAATATTTCAAATTATAAAATATTCTTCAGTTTGTACCCGTTTTACCCCATTTGAGCTTCACATTTTGAAACAAAACGATTATAAAAATGTGTCTATCGGCTTGTAAATATCAGATTGTGGTGCATCGAGTACTGCATTTTTGCACAAATACAAACTAGAGAGCGTTCCACAGAATCTAGAAGATTCAGTTGAATTTTACACCATATGGATGAACGCGTAAGAAAATTCATAGTTAAGGGTGCTTGTAATTAGTAATTACCCAAACAAGAGGAATTCTTTCGTAATTTAACTTTACACCAAGGAGTGGCCGTACATTACCCTAAAATAAATTATTGTGTCTGGTTAGTCGAGCCGAAAGCATGTTTGTTTCAACTCTTTTCATCAAATAAACGATTAACTCAAACTCGAACGAGTTTTAATTGAGTTGAATACAAATCGAGCCGAGCAGCTCGATTTTCTAATAAATAATTATTAATTATTAATTTTTTTCAGTCTTGTGTGTCAAAGTGTGATTAATAAATTTGATAATTTAAATGAGTGATATAAATAATAGTTGACAAACGTAAGCAATTTTCTTTGGGAGACTTACCGCTGAAATTGGGGAAACCAGGAATCTCTCCCCTCCGAGATCCCAAATTCCCAAATCCCTAATTCCAATTTCCGGATCCAGATCCCCTTTACTTCTTACCTAAATTACATTCATCGAAAATCTCCAAACATATTTACCTCTGAAAATTGGAGGTCGTTCACGAACAATTGAATCCAGAAGAACAGCAAAACCAGTCAAAAATGGGGGATTTCTCGTTGAGGAAATCGTTTTGTATCTATTTCTTCTTCGTATTTCTGCTCTTCCAATTTTCCTCGCTCCCTCAAATTTCCGCGCAGGTACTGTTTTTCCTTTTTTTTTTTTTTTTTTTTTTTGAACTTACATTTTTAGCACTTGCAATTGATTTTGATGACCTGGGTGATCTAACTAAATTTGCACGATGATTAGGAAAATGAAAGGTACGAGTCAAATTCTGCAATCAAGGATCTGGGCCGCCGTGGTAAAGTAAGTATAATCACTGCCTTCTTGTTTGGCATTCCCATCGTGAAGATGAAGTCGTGTTGTGTGGCGTTGCGATATAGCAGCAGTGTTAATAGTTCTATAAAGCAAGTTAACTTTTTTGAAGGATACTCCTTTTGCATTCATTTATCTTTCTCTCTTTTTTTTTGGTGCATTGGACTTTCATCGGATGAATGCAGGTAATGCGATTGGACCATGTATGTGTGCTCGTTTATTCACGCGAAATTATTAACCAGACACCACTTTCCAAGCTATAATCGGTCACATTTATAAAAATAAGAAAACAGGACAATTGAAGATGTTCAATGGGTTTGCCTTCAATTTTGTTAAACAAATGAATTATGTGAACATACTTGCTAACTAATGGTTCACATGTTTTGGTTGTGGAATGACGTGTTTTGAAGTTTTTTTGCATTGTAGATATCGTAAATATGAGGTTAATGTTGAATTCTGATGATATTTGCATGAATTGTGGTGGACAGATACTTGTGGACAAAATTAAAAGTGGTGTTGTCAAAGAGGAGAACGATCTAGATTCTGTTAACCTTCTTGTTGATCTGGACTCTGGTCTTGGAGTCTTCGATGCTTTCTTTGCAAGTTTATCCATGATACTTGTCAGTGAGGTAAGCAAATCCTTCATATGCTATATTGCTATCTTATTTAGATATCGTCTATCGAATGATGTCAGTATGCTCTGCTGCTTGGATTTTGATGAACGTGTTGTACTCTACTATGTTCATTATTAGAAAAGATGACTCAGTCAACAAAGTTGTATTACTAATGAATTTTGGAGTGTAATGTACTTCCAAAATCAACTTTTGCTTATGGAAGAATTGTCTATTTTGTTGGTTTCTTTGTCATTCCTTTGTATTTGATTTAATGATTAGTTTGTATTGTAATGATGGTTTTGGCTGCTAGATTGGAGATGAAACTTTCATAATAGCGGCTCTCATGGCAATGCGTCATCCTAAGTCAATTGTTCTATCAGGTGCTCTCAGTGCCTTGTTTGTGATGACAGTAAGTCGATATCCTTTCATGTTCTCTTGATTTTAGTATTTGTTGTTTTCTCTAAGTTTCCTTCCGTAGAGTATGCATCTCATGTACTTACACCTATGCACTCAAATTTCACCTTGAAACTACTTTTTGATTAATGATACTAATTTGTATATTCCTTACTCATCATTCCAGATACTTTCGACCGGTCTTGGGAGGATCGTGCCGAATTTGATTTCAAGGAAGCACACAAATAGCGCAGCTACAGGTATTTGTTTCTATTCTCTAACACAAGTTATGAATTAAATACCTCTTTCTGGCTAGTCTTTGGCATAGAAATATGGTAGTTAAACATGTGTTTATAAATCTGAAGTGAATATTCTCTTGCAGTTCTCTATGCCTTTTTTGGGCTCCGACTACTTTACATTGCATGGAAATCAGATTCAAAGGCTTCTCAGAAGAAAGAAATAGAAGAAGTACGTCTCACTGTGAAATTTGATTTGCATTTTTTAGCATTCCTTCTTTTCTTCTGGAACTAAAGCTCTTTCCTGCTTTAGCCTTCTTTAGTGCAAGAAAGGCGTTATCAATTTGACTCCTGGGGTGATATTTTAGATATTTATATTTGTATAGTTGTTTATGTACTATTTTATTGTTTTGAATTGCGCAACTGATGAATTAGTTCACACCTGCATACCACTCCCTGATTTTAGCTGTGCTTCACAGTGATTTGGCTTTTAAAACTTTTGTGATGAATCTATGATAGTTATGCTGAAACAAAATATGAGCCCGTAAACAGACACACTATCTATCACCTGAAAATATTTACATCATTCTTTGAAGGTGATATACGCCACTACCGTACTATGCTCAATTCCCTTTTGCATTACATACTGTTATACATGGTTTCAGACTCTGTGAATGTTACAGGTAGAAGAGAAACTTGAAGCTGGACAGGGGAAAACAAAATTCAGACGTTTCTTTTCTAGATTTTGTACACCAATCTACTTAGAGGTATAGCTCGCTCTTTTGTATATGAAGCATATTAGTAAATGCCTACTCTTTTTGTCATTTAACTGTTAATTCTTCGAGTATAATGAAGTACAAAAAATTGTCGTACTCGTGCAGTCCCAATTATTGTGTCTCTCTTTCTTTTTGTACTGTTTCTTTAGACCATTTGGAGACTTAAGTGCAATCACTAATAATTTTTCCCTGCAATGTTATGTGTGTGCAGTCATTTATCTTGACATTTTTAGCAGAGTGGGGAGACCGCAGCCAGATAGCTACAATTGCTGTAAGATTATTTATTTGTTGTAATTATATGGTTTTCACAGTTCAAGCAATCTGGACTATTGCTGTGGTTGTTGACTATCTAATTTTATTTATAAGTTTTTACCTCTTGGTAAATAGCATAAAAATGCTGTTCATGTAGGATATGTTAAAGTTAATTTAGCCATTAAAAACCCGATGATGTGTTAAGCAAACCAGTAATCACACGTCTACCCCTAACAGAGGTTGTTTGGAATTTCATAGGACTTTAATTAGTTTTCGGGTTAGGTCAACAATTATCTGACTTTCCATGGAGATGACAAGCTCTATTAGTCTAAATGTTTGGAGCCCGATTATATCTGATAAGTTCATAACAGCGAACAAAAAGAGGATTATGAATGTGAGGCTATATCTGAAGTATTTTTTAGATTTTTGACTTAATTATGCTCAAATGTTTGGAATACGTCGAACTTTTTTGTTTTTCTTGAAATGATTTTTTATTTTTATTTTTCGTTTTCTTTCACAGTTAGCAACACACAAAAATGCTGTTGGAGTAGCTGTAGGAGCTATAATAGGACACACCGTTTGTACATCTGTGGCAGTTATTGGCGGAAGTATGCTGGCATCGAAGATCTCACAGCGTACAGTCGCAACTGTCGGAGGGTTGCTTTTCCTCGGATTTTCCGTTTCTTCGTACTTTTATCCCCCAATGTGATCATTTTATTTTTTTGGGTAGATTAACTCTATAATTTCACATCTCAGTGTGTGTGTGTATCCAATCGACTTTAGATTCTCCAGCTGACTATATATGGAGCAGTATAGATTGAAAGCATTTTTCATACTTGTTTTTTTGTGGACAGTATCAGAATCCATTGTTTATTAAGATTGCAAGGTACCTTGCAATGTCGATTATTGTCCCGAGTTTTGGCACTTCTATGTTCTGTTTAGACTCAATTCAAACCCAGTTGGAGTTGGGATATAAACTGTAGACAAATAGTTAAAAGAGTACTTACAATTTATGATTTTAATTGGATGTATTTCCTTTTTGGGTAAAGGAAGATCGAACCCCATGGATTTTTGTTTATCTTTTTTTAACAATATTTATTATTTACACACAAAAATAAGTGGCAATTTATAGATGGCTTCTTGCAATTGTAAGTGTCTGAAGTTTGCTTGCAATGTAGTCATACATTGGTGGAATCCAACAGAAGTGTGTATTCTTGGTACAAAAAGAAGAGAGAGAAAAAGAGATTTTAAGACAAGGAAAAAACTAGAGATTAGAGAATGTGGTGATTTGGTAAGAGACTTGACTTCTTCTGTAAGAGAGGCAAGTGAAAGAAAAGCCCCACCATTTCATGTGACTAAAGATAAGATTTTATCTGCATTTAATTCAATAATCAAAACCCAAAATAGAGTGTGTTGCATACTTAGATTTTCATGTTTACTATAGATACACAATTGTGATTCTTAATCTCTTATAACTTAGAAACAAAGCAAGTGTCTAGAAGAATATATTAAGACAATCCCATTCTCCCAAACCATCTCATATCTCTTCTCTCTCTCTCACACCCTACACACACACACACGAAGATGAGGGATCGAATGGAAAGATTTGTACTACTTCCGTTCACTGCAGGTTGCATCGCTGAATCGAGCATTGCAGTTACCAAACCAACTCCCACAAGTATTTGCCACTCTCTTTTCATACAAAATCTTGAATTCTTTTTTTTTCTTTTTTCACTGCACTTTGATCTTTTTTGAGGACTTACTTTTCGGTTTTTCTCTGTGAAGGAACTCGTGACGGGGAAATGGAGCAAGAAGAAGAATATGATGATGAAAATGAAGAAGAAAGTTTATCGGGTGAAAACTCGAAGAGCCCTTCAAGCCTATTGCCACTTCCAATTTTCCAAAAGCTCTTCAAGAATATCAAGAACTTCTCTACCTCATTCGGTAAGCGTTTCTTGCGTGCACGAGTTCACACACACACACACACACACACACACACTTGTCTGTGTGTGTATAGATATATACCGAGAGACATAAATAAACATATACATATATATGTTTACAGCGTACAAAGACGAGTTAGAAGAAACAGAAACAAGGATGGAGATTGGATTTCCTACAAATGTGAAGCATGTGACTCACATAGGTCTGGATGGTTGTGCTAGCTCAATCCTCTCAAAGGGATGGAATAATTTTGACGAGCCAGAGACGAAGAATCTTCCTTCGGTTCCACTGACACCTGTCGAGCTAGCCATGACAACATATGCTGATAAACCCAGTTTCAGGAGTTTGCTTCAAACCAAATGAAGAAACTATAACAAAGGGGCAGACGGCATGCTGGAAATCTAAATGTATAAAAACATTAAAAGTTATATGAGGGTCCCATGAAATTAAATTTAAATGTTTATTTGTGGTTGGAATAAGAATTTTAAATCAAGCAAAAGTGACATTTTTCGTTCAACTTTGGGAGAAATTATAACGTCATTCCAATTAAATAAAGAATCGTTTTATCAAACTGTCAAAGAAGCAAATAGCTGAATGTGACGGTAAATCTCATGCACCTAAAAATCAACTATAGAGCTATGCAGTTTCTACTTTATGTTAGAAGACGGGGATGCGAAGAAATCAGCTACATAAGCATCTATAATCTTTCAAGAACAAGGATAATAACGAGAACGATTGTAAAACTATTTTTTTTATTCTTACACAACCCTTTATACATAGTTTTTTTTTCCATTCCAAATATGGAGTTTGGTAAGATTTCACGTAGTTATTAGTATACATAACAGAAGTTTCGTATGGGTTGATTCGTTGATCTAATTATACGAAGCATGTACTTAATAACGGGAAATTTCTATAAACAAGAAACTCAAAGCTAGGGAATGCAAATGTGGTCAGCATATTTGATGCAAATTTTCATGAAAAAATTAAAATAAAAAGAAGTTGAAAAAAGAGATACGAGATCATTCTGCCAGTAGCCCGCGTCTCTGCATTCCCACAGCTTTCCACATTCCGTCAATTACATATTTGCATGTAAGGCTATTCGGTGCAAACCCTAATCTCGCCATCTTTTTTTGGAATTCCATCAACCGAGAGGGGTCGCCTTCCTCAGAGAGTACCCTAACAGCTGCATTATAACATTCTGCATCAAATATTTGAAATTCTTTCGCGTATAAACTCAAAAGTGATTCGGCCGCAACAATATTCCTCTCGTTGCAAAGCCCATTCATCAATGCTCTACAAACATCAATCTCGAGAGGCAAACCAGATTTAACCATCTCTTTCATTAATAACAAAGCCTCCATGCTTCTGCTTAATCCACACAAACCTCCAATAATGGCTCGATACGCACTCAAATTAGGCTTCAAATCCTTCGATACCATATCAAGTTTCAATTCCAACGCGTCCTTCAAAAATTTGCCTCGACAAAGAGAATCGATCAACTCATTACACACTTCATCACTCGGCAAATAACCATTTTGCGACATCTGATCCAAAAGGGACTTTGCTGCAAATGGCCTATTATCCTTGCACAAAGCAAGTATCAAGTAGCAATATATATCTCGGGAAATCATAACACCGAAGCGTGTGAGTTCCAGAACCAGATTCATTACAGATATCATCCTATTCAGTTTTTGATATCCTTTTAAAAGCTGCCAACAAGTGAAATCATCGGGGAAAACCCCATTACCGATCATGTCGAACAAGACGTATTTTGCCTCTTTCATCATCCCCTCTTTGCAATATCCGTGTATTAGAGTATTGTAAGAAACAGCGTCGGGTTTTAATCCTCTGTGGACCATCACATGGAAGAACCGGTGAGCCTCCCTCATACTACCACTCTTACAGAGACCGTTAATCAAAGACGTGTGTGTTAACAGATCGGGAACCACACCCCTCTTACACATGATATTATACAAATAAACCGCATCCTTCAACTTCGATTTCTTGCAGTAACTATCGATAAGCATGTTATAAGTTACGATATCCGGCTCAAATCCTTCTTCCTCCATTCTCTCCAAGAACTCATTCACTTTATCCACATCCAGTTCTTTACACGAGATGTGAGTCAATATGTTAAACGTGCACGTGTTTGGATGCAACTCGATCCGCCGCATCTCTTCGTAAATCTCCCAACATTTTTCTACATAATCCATCTTCGACAGCCCATTCAGAAGACAGTTAACAGTAAAAATACTCGGTAGGAATCCAAGCTTCACCGTTTCTTCAAAAGCTCGAAAACTCTCTTTAACCATTCCCTTTCGGAGATAAGCCTTGATGAGCATATCAAACACAACAGGGTCCCAATTACATTCATTTGTGCACATTTGCAGGCTGTCGTACACATTCACCATTTCCGAACCATTTCCATTTCCATTTTCATTCAGCTGCACCAATTCTAACAGGATTTTCATTGCTTGCTTGTAATTTTTGGACCACACCAAAATGTGAACCATAACGCACAAACTGCGCGCATCCGGTTCGATATTCAAGTCATTCCTGGCCCAATTAAAGAAACTGAGAGTTGCGGATGAATCGGACTGGCATCTGAGCAGTATCCTCGACAATTCATGGCTGGTAAAATGACGAAATAGCCCTTGCTCTTGGAGATAGTCCCAAAAGACGCGGTCTTTTTGCTTGAGAGATGAGCAGACGAGCGTGACAACGTTGTTCGGATTCTGGGTTTCGGGGAGAAATTCGTAAAATGGGTTGTGCCGCACAGGTTTTTCGATGCTGCTGCTGATTAGGGTTTGAAGAGCAGATGACGAGGTTGAACAATTTCTAGGGTTTGAGCGACGAATTGGGGCAGTGAAAATGGCGACGGAAAATTGGGGCAAACGATGGGTAGCTGATTTCAGAGATGAACTCATAGATTAAAATTCATACCGATTGAAAAAAGTGCAATTTGAGATGAGAGCAAACCCTTACACTGGGCGCGTGCAATTCACGTGCTCGCCGGAGGCCAAGTTTCGCCTGAAAAATCAGCCGTAAGTGGTGAAGTGAGTTAAAATAATTAGTTTTGTGTGTATCTGTGTAAATATGTTTTGTTGAGGGGGCTAAGTGCAAAAACGGGTAATGTATAGGCGTCAAAATAGTATTAACTCTTTAATATTTTTTACTTTTTAAGTTTAAATTATTTTAATTGGCGTCTTACTATATAATATGGGATTATTTGTAAAAGCCCCCCATTACACAAGTCTAATTACAATAGGCCCAATTTTTTTAGAACTTTTTGAGATAAATCTATTTCAGCATTAAATAATAAAAAATAATAAATTATCACTATTATACCCTTAACTTAAAAGTAACGTATATTTTAGGATTGGAAATAAAAAAAAAATTAGAAAAGATTTATAATATCTTTTCCTATTATATCGTAACAACACATCCTCATATAATTCCACGATTACACCTAATTACAGAGAAACCGTTTCAAAGTAATGTGTATTATCTTTGCCTATCTCTTTCTTTTTGATGATTCTTCCTCCATTATTGGGCTTGGAGAATCAGCGACTCCATTGGAGGAAATTGCAGAAACCATAATTAAAGATTGGAGCAAATAAAAAAATTTAATGGTTATAAATATTCCAGGTCCGGCGACGGAAGGAGGAGGATTTGCATGTGGAGGAGCGGCGGCCGCTGCGGTGGAAGTGCACAGAGTATGTCTTCCGTCGCCGAGGACCACCGTGGAGAAACTCGTAAATTGTTTAGAGTTGATGAGAAGCCAAAGATGCAGAAAAAATGAATTATCCTGCTATTTCGTGTGAATGTTCATTGTGATGATGACGTAACCAGATGTAAAATATTCCATGGTTAATGGAAATATTAATAATTTTTTTAAAAAACATTTACTTAATAATAATAATAATAAATCAATTTTGAGTTATTTACTAAGTCGAAGCAAAATGATTTATCTGCCTCGACTCGAGGTGAATATTTGTAAAGATTCATTTTTTTTAACCCATACTAATAAACAAACAAGTCTAGGAATTTGTAATTATACAGTGGTTTTCGTTAATTACAGAGTGGTTTTCGTTAATTTAATAGTGGTTTTGTTAATTGATAGGTTTTTAGTGAATTTTTGTAATGTAATTTATTAATTACATAGTGGTTTTCACTAATTACATAGTGGTTTTCACTAATTACATAGTGGGATTATGTTAATATTAATGTGAATTATACTTATTTTATAGTAATTTTTACGTTAATTTCATAGTGATTTTCGATAAATTTAATGATTTTCGATGTGTACGCAAACAGGGTTCCTTCTAATTATGTTAAAATTAGTCTAGGGTATAATCTTAAATTAAAAGAATTAGACAGTGATATTACATATACATTAGGCACCGCAATTCCGTTGTTTGATTTCAATGGTAATCGTGCTAATTAATATATTTTATATTCGAAGATATCAGACCTAGTTAATTTAAACACAGAAAAATATGATAGTTAATTTCAATGAGGGATTTGTATGAGTAATGAAGTCAAGTAATGATTGATATTTGAATGAAAATGGAAATACTATATTCTAATTTCAAAATGAGAAAATAAAATTTTGGCATAATTTAATTAAGAAATGTTAAGCTGCCTACCAATGGGTTTGACTTTTGGATCTTTTGATTTCAATTTTATTGAGTCAAAGTTGGATGAGCACCCATGCCATCCTTGACTTTGGTATTCCTAATTACTATTATTAAAAAAAATATATAATAATAATAATAATAAGTAAATAAAAAATCATAATTACGTTCGCCCCTCAAAATTGTAGATTTGTTATATTAACACTCCTTAATAAAGGGTGATAATGAGAAATTTACAAACTGCACATAGTCTGAAAGTAATTTCTCAAAATTAAAAAAAATATTTTTTTAACTACACTTTATCTTATGGAGGTGATTGTAATTTACTCAAAAATAAATTATTTACTCCGCGCATATATGTACGAATGTTACATAAGTTATAAGCTAAGTAAGCATTTTAGTGCGAGATTTGGTTTTCGGGTTCTTCGACGACACTCAAGTCAGACTCTAAATTACAACGAAAAGTAGGACTTTTAAGTACGTATTACCGAAAAATACTAATCACTTGCCACAAATTATGAAGACGAAAGAATAGTTATACTTGTAATAATTAGGTAAACATGATATTTGGCTCTTCATTAGACTTTTTAATTTATTTAATTGGACTCAAATAGGCTAGAGCACATAATATTGGACTTTCATTAATTTATTTAGTTTAAACTATAATCGCAGCCCGTAATTATTAGGATGAAAATGTAGGGGGGGCTAGCTAAAATTTCGGGGTTTGGAACAGTGCCCCAATTTTTTTTTAGGTTTACAAGACATTGCAAAAATAAGTTTGTATTGATATGTTTTAATTAAAATGTCATATATATAATAATTTTATCGTATTTTAAGCATGACAAAAAAAGTAAGTTAATTCAAATTATTTAAATAATGTATCGTACTTAATATTTTGGGGATTCATGGCATCGTCTCATATTAATTTTTAGCGTTATTGATAAAAAAATTCAAAAATATGTAAATATTCATAAATTTTATTTCAAATTATACAGGTTTTCACCATTTTATTTTATATTTTTATATAAAATATGATATGATATATATATATATATATATATATATATATATATATATATATATATATATATATATATATATATATATATGGAGAAGAAACAATAAAATTAAGGATTAAGATACATATTTGCAAAAACTTTAGGGGGCTAAAAGTAATATTCAAAAAATACAGTGCCAAAATACCTATAAAAAAAATTAATCTTGGGGGGTCAAGAGCCCCCCTAGCCCCTTCTATGTTCCGCCAATGTTTAGTACTGACTCATCACCTCGATTGCTCATATATGGAATATTTACTTCCCGCAAGAAATGGTCGAACGGTTGGAACAAGTGAGCTTATGTCGATTGACCTAAGTTCGAATCATTTTATCAATGGTCACTATGTCGAGTTTGTCACACATGTTTGTCTAGTGTAGTTTACGTCTCTCGTATGGTTTGCAAGCTATTTTACGAGTGTATAAGTTTATCCAGTACACCTGTATGATTGGTTACGGGACCCTTCATTGCTATTTTTTTTTAAATGAATATAGAGATTATCACATGTTATTAGTTAAATAGACTTTTTAAACTAAATAAATGAAAAGGTTGAACCAACTATCAATAAATATTCCCTAATTTCATGTCACATATATCATGTGCATTTTTTTCCGTATGAAATTTGTTATCCTCCTTTTATCGAACTTCAAAAAAAAATTCTTATTATTAATTTTCCTTTTTTTGAATATCTAAATTTAATTTTACAGTAGAATCTCAACAAATTAATAGTAATATTCAATAAATTAATAATCTCATTTAAATAATATATTTTCCATCCCAACTCAAGGACGGTGTTAAAAAAATTCACCAAACTAATATTGTGCTAAATTAATTGAATGTAATTGGTCCCAATTTTATTAATATATAGTGAGTTTGAATATCAATGAAACCTAAATTTATTTAAAGAAAGATTAGGCATACCAAATACTTTGTCCAATATTGTCTATTGAAAATAAAGGAGTCGAGTCAAATGAATGGACTATTCGAACTTATTCGAATATTTATCGAGCTTATTATTAATTTTCTAGAGTTTGATTTGATAAGCAATCGAATCGTTCAGTCGAACGAATTCCAATCGAGCAGAACACAAATCGAGCGTTTGATTTTTATCTGTAAGTACTTTATTATTATTTTCCTTTACTCAGAGCTCAAGTTCGAATTCTGATAAATGAAAATATGTGTTCAAATTTTGTTCGTTATATTAACACATCGAGTAACCTAATTCGATATATTTAGCCATAATTGCATTAGGGTTTCAATTGAAAAAAAAAATATATATATATTAAAT